TCCTTGTGCCGCCCCGCCACGCTGTGCCGAGCCGTGCCGCCCACCCCTGCCCCATGCGACCGCCGGCACCCGCGGCCAGCATCCGGTGTCATACCCGGCTCAAGCCCATGTGGTAGCTGCTCTTCTCCAGGTCCAGCGACTCCAGGAGCTCCTCCACCGCCTGCGGGGATGGAAGGGCATCAGGGGTGGGCTGGCAGCACCCCGGGGTGCAGGGGGACCCTCGGACCGCAGCACCAGCCCCGGCGTGGGGCACGTACCCGCTTCTCATCCACCACGATGTAGTTGCGCCCGTGCTTCTTGGTCAGGTGCGGGGCCAGGACGTCAAAGCGCCGCCTGAACTCCGCAAACACCATGTGGTCGGGGTACCCTGGGGGGAGCAAGGGAGAGTGGGGCTGCGAGGGCAGGCGGGACACCCAGGGGATGACCGGTGACAGCCCCACGTGCCCTGACTCCCTGGGGCCCATCTTTTGGGAGAGCTGATGGGGTTACCCCACGTGGCACAAGCTCCCCATGGGACCAGGCACAGCCAGAGTGCCCCGACCCTTTCCTGGAGGTTTTCCTTGGCTGTGTCCTCCAGCAATTTTGGCTGGGATCTGGGGAGAAAGCAGCCAGATCCCGCCTCGGGGGGAGCGCAGGGACACGTGTGTCGCCTGTGCAAGTAAACAGTCTCCGCTCCGGCTCCACTCTGAGCCGCAGCCAACTTCTGCATCAGGCTTATAGTACTGAGCCTCCACATCTTAATTAACGATGGGGTATTGACGGGGACGCCGACCCCGGCGCAGCCGGCTGGCCGCGGCCATCGATCCAAGAGGTGTGCAAGCAGCATCGATTTCCGATCGCGGCAGGAAGGGTCCAGCCTCCAGGCAATAAAACCTCAGCTGGGCGGTCGGCCGCACGTATTGATAAATGCTTTGCTCAGCACGACCTGGAGTCCCTCACCCCAGCGGGACAAGGGCTGACTGCCAGCAGGAGAGCTGCCAGGAGCTGGCGGCACCAACCGAGACACCCAATTAAGGCCATGCCTGTCCCCAGCGCAGATAACGGCCCCGCAGGGGAGGGAGGACAGGGACAGGACCGCCCTGGGGGGATGTCTGGCAGCCGCGGGGCTCGGAGCAAGGGCGCATGCCGAAGGGGTTCCCTGGGAGGCTTTTTTTCCCCAGGAAGGAGATGCAGCTGGGACCCCCGTGACATCCATCCCCACAGCGGGATGCACACCGCAGCCCCGGCATTCCCCTCCCCGGGTGCCGGCGGCATGGCTCACCTTGGCGGTACATGCGGAGGGCGTCGAGCAAGCGGGAACCGCGGAGCTGGGCACGCAAGAGGGGCACGTCCAGCTGCATGAGCCCGGCCTCGCAGTGCTCCGCCGGCAGCTCCAGCTCGCTGCCGCTCACCCGCCGGCACGGCAAAGCCCGGGGGTCCCCACCGCCCCCCGCCGCCTTGGGCAGGAAGCAGTGCACGAAGTGGAGCTTGGACTTCTTGATGCTGTCAATGAGGGCGTCCTGTGGGGCCGGGAGAGCGGGGTGAGCGGTGACACGCATCGGTGGCCCGGTCAGACGCGGGGACTCCACCTTGGCACCCCCTCACTCACCACTTGCAGCTTGATCTGGATGCAGAGGGACTTCTTCTTGACGGCAGCCACGCCGGTTGTGAAGGTCTTGCGCATGCTGGAGGCACGGCGCAGGGCCAGCTGGGAGCCCCCCTCCAGCCCCGCCACCGAGCCCGACAGCACCAGTGCCGACCCGCCGCGGCCGGCAAACAGGCTGCTGATGACCTTCCTGCGGGGCAGGGAGGGGATGTCACCCCCCAAAATTACCTCTCCCCCCTGCTGTGACCCACCGCCCACCAGGACCCCACTCACTTCTGCGACTCCTGCAGCAGGACGGAGGCGTTTTGGGAGGCTGGGTTGTGCTTAACGTGGTTGAGCCAGCCCGTGGCATCGTACTCCACCCAGTTGGTCCCTGAGCTGTGACCCAGGAGGAAGTGTCGGGGCTTGTCACTGGGGAGCAGCGGGTTGTGCCCTGCGGGGAGACACGGCACCGATGGGCACGGGACTAGGTGCTTCGCCAACGCACGACCCCACGGTTGCCCCCCCTGACCTTTCTTGCCTCCTTCCTGGGGGCCATAGTAGGAGAAAAGCCGCTCCAGTAAGGTGTCCTCATTGCCACCCGGCTGCAGCGCTTCCTCCTCCAGCAGCCACAGCAGCCCCCGTGCCTCGTCCGTGCGGGCCAGCGACCGGACCTGTGGGTGACACTGCACTTGCACCCAGCCCGGCACCGCCAGTGTACCCTGGGACAGGGATGGGAGGACGCAAGGGACCCGGGCTACCCAGGGAGCATGAACCTCGGCCACTGCCAGCAGCAAGGCAAAGTGGGGCCCCCTCAGGTGGCCCCTCACCACTGTTTAATGAAGAC